TATTTTTCCATTCTTGGGATACTTCACTTAGTAGAATGGGTTCCAGCTCTATCCAGGATAATACAAGAGGTGCTATATCACCATTGTTTCTTATAGCTGAATAGTACTCCATGATATACATATACCACATTTCATTAATCCACTTACGTATTAATGGGCACTTAGGTTGTTTCCACATCTTTGCAATTGTGAATTGTGCTGCTATAAACATTTGAGTGCAGGTGTCTTCTTTATAGAGTGACTTTTGTTCTTTTGGGTAGATGCCCAGTAATGGGATTGGTGGATCAAATGGTAGTTCTACTTGTATCTCTTTAAGGTATCTCCATATTGCTTTCCACAGAGGTTATGCAAATGTCTTGTTTCTCATTATGCTTTTGCCCACTAATTTCAGTGTCTGTTGATGATTCTTGCCTACGACAATTATTACTGTTGTATTCCTCAATGATGATTTTCTACTTACATCATTCCTTTGACATTTATTCACTGGGATGCTACTCTATGGGTTATAATCCAATACTACCATTATTTATTTTGTTGTTTAAATTGCCCTTGTTTTGGCTATTTCCAGTTGACTCCTGTGTTCTTCCAACATGCTGCCATGATTTTGTTTTTTAGTATTTCTTTACTTTCTGGCACCACAAAATGTTCCAGGATCATCATGTATGTTTCCTGTTCCATCTCTGGATTAATCATTTCTCTAAGGAGCCTTGGTTCTTTTTATTGGAGAACAGTATTTAGAAACCAAGATCTGGGTTCTAGGTGTGCTCATGGCTACTGGGGTGTCATCTAGGCCTTCTCAAGGGACAGAGCTAGGAAATATATGTATACTAACACAAAGATATTTAATACATATATCTTTATTTCTGTATCTCTCCATCTGTATGTCCGTCTACACATTATTTACACATACAGATGGACGGATATAAAAATAAAGATATATGTGTTAAATATCTCTATTTATCCATGGATATTTACTTATTTGCTCAATCTTAATATACACATAGGTAGTTCCAGTATTGCTAACCCATACTTCTGTGATTCGGGTTTGCCTGATGTTTTTCCTTAATTAGATCTGGTTTACCCACTTTTGTCAAGAATACCACAAATTTATCAGTGAGAATACAGAATTTGTAAACAGTTCTTTTTGTCTTTAGTCTTATAGTATACATTCAAAATAGTGTTACGTAGGTTAGTGTCCTTCTTCCTCACCCCCTTCAATGTGGTTATATTATTCATTTGTAGCACAATTAGGCTTGTTATAGTTTATATTTCACTTTGGATCCCCACCCCCTGCCCATGTCCTGGCAGATTTCAATTATTTATTTTTTGAGCATGTAAGACATTGGTCTCCCCTTCAGTTTCCTCATCTGTAAAAAGGGGACAGTAATAGTAAGGTCATTGTGAGGCTTGGATGAGACAGTGCCTGGCACCTAGTAACTGTGCAGGCAGAAAGTCAACACGGGGTCGCTGTTGGTGAAAGGAGGGTCCCTGCCTCCAGAGAGGATTCCTGTTCCAGGAACAACAGACAAGAGTAAGGTGGGGCCTCCAGGCCTAGAGGGACAGAGACACCAACACATAACCCCAAGATGTGACCAGTGATGTGCTGCAGTGCTGAGGGCAGGTGGGGCCAGGTCTCCTGACAAGGCAGAAGCCCAGGGATCAGAGTAATGACACTGGTAGGAGGGCTGGACTGCTTATACCTCTCCCTGCCTGGGAGTCAGGATTGATTTGTCCTCAACTTTGGCTGCCACTCAAATCCCCTGGGTACATCGTAAAAATATTGATGTCTGGGTTCCACCCTCAGAGATTCTGATTGTAACTGGCCTGGCATGGGCCTGCCTGGTTGTTGGTTCTTGCCACAGCTGTCCAGGTGATTCTGGTAAGCAACCACTGGCCTAGGACCTGGGCAGGGCTGGATGGATGTAAAGCTCAGTGATAGAAATCACTGGTCAATAGAAAGAACATCTGTCTAATAGTCATACTGTCCATGGGTACGTGGGCTGGTCAGTTCCTCATCCCTGGAAGTGTGCGAGCAGAGGCCAGGTGACCCCTAGCAGGACACGGAGGCAAGATACGAGCTTCAGAGGGGACCTGTCTTGGACAGTCTGAGGTCTCTGGCTCTTGGTGAGTGGACATCTCTTACTCTCTGGGGGTCTCTGTCATTGCAGGATGGCCCTTCGACAATGCCACATGCAAGATGAGCGGCTTGGTGCAGGGCATGTCTGTGTCGGCTTCCGTTTTCACGCTGGTGGCCATCGCTGTGGAAAGGTGAGAGGTTACCTGGTTGGACTGTCCCTGGGCCGGCTGGGGCCTGGCACAAAGAGAAGCCACTGCCTCTAATGCTGGGCCAGCTAGAAGGTTGGGGCTGCTCTGCGGTAGGAGGGGCTAAATCCTCAGCCATAAAGGGAAGGGTTGTGGGCCCAGCTGACCTCTAGATTTGGCGGACCTGCTAAGGACACCACCACCTCCTTCTGGAAGGCCTGGAATAGCTCTTGAGAAGGTTTAATAGGGATTACTGGGGCCTGTGCAGACCTTGAGAGCAGTTCATGTTTTCCAAGCAGTAGGAACCCTGCCACCTGTTAAGTCTGAGCCGGGGAGCGGGAGCTAGGTGAGTAGCTTATAGGGCGGGCCTTGGCATGGCAGGGGAGGAAGGGGTTCTCCTGCTCCTTCACTCGACCCCACTGCCTCCATGCTGGCCCTGGCAGTCCAGGCCTCACTCAGTCCCCATCTCCACCCCTTCTGGGCTTTCAGCCTCAGATTCCATCAGATTCTCTGATAACCATGGATCTGTTAACGTGACCCGAGGTATGGAATGGAGCCAGGGGCAAGGAGGCTTTGCAAACTGTAAAGCACTGAGCCCGTGCGTCTTCCTTGTTGCACTGCAGTGAGTCCTCCTCCCCCTCAGCATCGCGAGTGGTGTAAGGGCTCCTCCAGGGGCTTTACCCCGGGGAGGAGGAGGCAGGCAGATAAGATGGAAGTGTCCTCATCACTGCCTAACTGGATCATGGTGGGTAAGTCACTTTACTCGCAGCCTCTGTAGTCTCATTGGTAAAATGGCAGATACCTTACACGGTGGTTGAGAGGCTTCCATGAGCTTCTGCACAGTTCCTGGCACAGAGTCCAAATGCCAGCTGTTAATATCCCTTGTCCTCTCCCCAACACGGGCACTTCGTAGCCACGCCCTTTCTAGAATCTAGTGTTCTCATCCTTTCTCCACCTCTGCCCTCATCAAACCCAGTATTTTTGTAACCCAGTGAAGTAGGCAGCTGGGATGATGGCATTGGGTTCCTCTCTCCACAAGGCCGCCAATTACCTGGGTAATGGGGGAAGTCCCTTCCCTTCACTGACCTTTGTTTTGTTATCGTCATTGAATGATGAGAATGTGCAGCCTCTCCCAGTGTTGTCTGCAATATTCTTCAAGACCCACTTCCTCCAGGAAGCCTTCCTGGACTACCCCAGGATTCTCCTCCATCCATAACTACTATTGCACTTATAGCCAGTACTACTTACTTTAAGAATTATTTGTTCTCTGGAAAGTTCTCAAGTGTGTGCTGCTATCAAGCCAGTAGGTCAAAAGCATACAGGTTGAGACTGCAACGGGTCAGGCCAAGGAAAGAGTAGGTAGGCAGGAGGGCACGACACAGTTTAGTGAAGTGGAATGGGCATTGGGCTGGGAGTCAGCTCTGTGTTCTAGAGCAGGTTCTGACCCTAAATAGCCATGTGACCATAAGAAAGTCCCTTCCCCTCTCTGGGTCAGGTTCCCTCTCCATTAAACAAGTAAGCTTCACTAGACAGTCTTCTATTTCCGGCATCAGTAGATGAGAGAAGATATTCTGGGAAGTAGGAGCCCCTCCTCTTTCTCACTATTAAGCATTAAAAATGTCTCAAGAAGTGTGGTAAGTGTAGCCTCACTTAATCTTCTCAACCACCCTACAGAGTAGGTCATATTATTGGCCCCATTTTACGGATGAGGAAACTTAGGCTCAGAAAGATTTTTGAGTAATTTGCCCTTCCGGTTGTTCATGCATTCATGCATAAACACTCCCCAGGAATGCTGAGAGGAAAAGGCAGGGCACCTGTTCTCAAAGGGCTTGCAGTTGAGCAATCGCCTTTGAACCACACTGCAAAGGGGGAGGTTCCACCTCCACCCCCGCATACAGCAGCGGTTCTCAGCTCTGCACATGGGAATCACTCCAGGAACTTTTTAAAAAAATTAATACTAAAACCCCCTCCCTAGACTAATTCAATTGGAAACTTTGGCCCAAAGAAACAGGCATAGTTTTGTTGTTGTGGTTTTTTTGTTTTGTTTTGTTAGTTTTTTAATGCTTCAGGAGATTCTAATGCACAGGAAGGGTTTACGCCTACTGGTCTATGTGGCATAGTGGAGCAAGACAAATCTAGGTTCAAGGCTGGTCCTTGCCACGTGGTGTGTGTGACCTTAAACCAGTTGATTAACGCCTCTGAGTCCCAGTTTCCTCACCTGTAAATTAAGGGTGTAACAATTGCTGCTGAGACATCCTAATGAGGAAATAAATGGTACCGACTTGTCCTAACATGGTGGAGATACTGACTTTGGCCAAGATGACAGAGGGACAGCCTGTCATGTAAGCTCCACATCTGACCTCCCGAGGTTTTCTGGAGAATCCATAAACAGCTAGAAATTGTTCTTTGATACACCTAATTGGCTCAGGGACAGACTGTGCAGCCCGAGTGCTCTGCTAGCTGCTAATCAGTTTACCCCCAAAAGTGCACGAACAGGATTAATTGTTCCCACGCTATCTGCAGCCTCCCTCCCCTCTCTCATAAACCCTGTTGTTGCCTTTATTCCTTGCCGCCCCAGCCAGATGGGGTGACTCCCACACAGGTAGAAAACCAATTCGCTTACTAAAGAGCCCGAGTGATGCTGGAGCTGTTCTTTGAGCCGCCTTGGGTGTGAGGGTGAATGCCAGGGGCAGCCCCGCCCAGCCTCGCCCAGACCCCTGCCCCTTCCCGCCGCAGGTTCCGCTGCATCGTGCACCCTTTCCGCGAGAAGCTGACCCTGCGGAAGGCGCTGGTCACCATCGCGGTCATCTGGGCCCTGGCGCTGCTCATCATGTGTCCCTCGGCCGTCACTCTGACCGTCACGCGTGAGGAGCACCACTTCATGGTGGACGCCCGCAACCGCTCCTACCCGCTCTACTCGTGCTGGGAGGCCTGGCCCGAGAAGGGCATGCGCAAGGTCTACACCACCGTGCTCTTCTCGCACATCTACCTGGCGCCCCTGGCGCTCATCGTGGTCATGTACGCCCGCATCGCCCGCAAGCTGTGCAAGGCGCCGGGCCCCGCGCAGGACGGCGAGGAGGCGGCGGCGAGCGGCCGGCGCGCGGCGCGGCGCAAGGCGCGGGTGGTGCACATGCTGGTCATGGTCGCGCTCTTCTTCACGCTGTCCTGGCTGCCGCTCTGGGCGCTGCTGCTGCTCACCGACTACGGGCAGCTCAGCGCGCCGCAGCTGCACCTGGTCACCGTGTACGCCTTCCCCTTCGCGCACTGGCTGGCCTTCTTCAACAGCAGCGCCAACCCCATCATCTACGGCTACTTCAACGAGAACTTCCGCCGCGGCTTCCAGGCCGCCTTCCGCGCCCAGCTCTGCCTGCCGCCCTGGGGGAGCCACCGGCAAGCCTACTCCGAGCGGCCCGGCCGGCTCCTGCGCAGGCGGGTCTTCGTGGAGGTGCAGCCCAGCGACTCCGGCCTGCCCTCTGAGTCGGGCCCCAGCAGCGGGGCCCCCAGGCCCGGCCGCCTCCCGCTGCGACATGGGCGCGTGGCCCACCATGGCTTGCCCGCTGAGGGTCCTGGCTGCTCCCATCTGCCCCTCACCATGCCGGCCTGGGACATCTGAGGTGGTCCAGGGAGGGCAGGCCTGAGCGGACATGCGACACCTGGACGCCATAGCAGCCTGGTATGGTGTTAGAAAAGGATGCATGGTGCGTCCCTCTCCAAAATAAGGCAGTGGGCAGCCGCTAGGGATGCTTTCACCCTCAGATAGAGGCAGATAGGGGGAGGCCTCCATGTCGTATCCCTTCTGTGTGGTAGACAAACACCGTCTCATTAGATTGGCTGAATGCTTTGGAAATAGGTTTTCGTATTCCCCTTCTACAGATGCAAAAACTGAGGCCTGGAGAGGCGAGGTGATGAGCCCAAGGTCTTTCAGCTGGAATCTCGTGTCAGCCTATGAGACTCTAACTCCTGTATGGTTTTTGCCACCTCCAGCTGGCTCCAAAAGGGCCCGTTAAGGTGGAGCATAGTGAACTGTGTAAATCCTTGTTAGGCAGCTGGGAAGAGTTTAAAAACAAAGCCCACCTGTCCTTTGATGCTTTGTGTCGATGAGCGATGAGCGGTGCAGTCTCTTTTGTTCTGTTACTGAAGCCCCTCCCCTTGTCCCTTTCCTAGGAGGACATGGTGTGTCCCTCCTGCCAGCTTTAATATGTTGATTTGTCTCCTTTGTTCCAAGCAATGTCCAGGGCCATTCTCTTTCAGGATGTCACAGCTGAGCAGCTTTGGAAGGAGTCCTGCGGAGCCTCTTCAGCTGCAGGATCATCTAGGTCTTGCGCTCTGGGTGTGAGCTAGAGAAGGGAGGAGGGGATCCCTCCCACCTCCACCACCCGGATGCAGGCAAGAACTCACCATGCCACAGGCAGCTGCCAGGCCATATGGAGGTGTCTGTTTATTGACTCATGGACAAAGAGGAAGGGAAGGCAGAGTACTGGCTTCTCACCTTTGGAAACACATCTGCTCACTGGAGATGCAAGTACGAAGCCTTCCCCAAGGCCTCTTCCCTCCTGGCTTCCTGCAAGGAAGAAGATCCCCAACCAAAGCTGTAACCAGGGTTCCCTATGGGGACTCGTGAAAGACACACACTAAACCCCTCCCCAGCACGGATGACTCATGTAACCAAAAGAGGGTGGGGACCAGGTGATCCCTGATTTGCTCCGGCTTTCACCTAGCAAACCTGCATCACCTTGAAGAAATGAGGCTTCTCTCCAGGAGATGGGAGAAAATGGGATCGCCTTGTGTGACCCTTGCACAGCCCCAGTCATCTGCAGTTAACTGGACATTTTCCTCCTCACCTCTGTAGAAAATATTGTGTTGCTAAACATTTAGTGAACAAAAAAGAAACATTTCCAGGGGTCAGGGTTCTGAGGCTCTGATTGTTTCCTTAATCGACACACAATGACAGCCCTTTTTAAGTTTTGAGTATAGAGAAGAAGAAAATTCCTAAGCAGCAGCACTAATACATTCTCTAAGCATGTCCCCAGACACTGTCTCATTTGAGCCATACTAATGAGATTGAAGGAGATGTTGTTATTGCCATTTCACAAAGTAACTGAGTGCCAAGGTCACAGGGCCACCGAGGGGCAGGATTTGGATTAGATTTGTCGTCCGATTGTTCTTCTCACGCTGCATGCTGCCTTTCAAGGAAGGTGGATATGGCGGGGAGGAGAGCTGGAAATTCCCCCAAAGGTCTTTTGCCTAATGGTGAATCAGAACACTCATAGACCCAGAATCCTGGTGCCCAAGCTCTTGGTCTGGGAAATGAGAGTCTTTTGTGTTTACTCTTGTAATTTCCGCCCTGAGCTGTTCTGTGTATATTGTCTATACCCGTGTGCTGAACAGGCTGCCAAGGTCCATTAGGACCCTGTCCTGGTTCAGGAGTCTGGGGTGATGGATGAGGGTCTCAGAGAGGGTTGCCATCCTGCCCCTCAGCGGTATTAGCTGGTGCCACACATTTCTGATGCTGTATCAGTGTCATGTGTTACATAGGCCCGAGAGTTCCTGGTTATTTACTGTGAAAAATTCTGATTCCAGGCTCTAAAAATAGGCTGGAAAAAAGACTGTATCAAACCCAAAATGCCTGTTCCTGTGGCTGGGTAGGAGCTGTCTGAAGACACCATCTCTTCTCTCCTCTGGAGTGTGTTTCTTCCTTAGCATGGCCTCCTGCGGCACAAAATCACAGGCTTTGGCAAGGGGACAGGGGTAGGGACCAAGGCACTCACCCAAGCCAACCTTTCCATCATGCGCCTTTGTTTTATTTCCCCCCGAAGATGCCATGCTTTGAAAGCTGGTAACTGCCCAGAAAACTGCATAGGTCACAATTCAGATATTTTGCTGTTATTTTTATTTCTTTAAAAACATCAATCGGGCTGCACCTGCCTGTTCAGAGTCTTGATCTGAATGATAACAGGCATGACTTGATGCTTTAATGAAGTAGTGAGGCCCCGTGGGCATGTGGGGAGTGAGTCTGTTTCTTTGTGGATGTAGTAAAATACACACAACATAAAATTGACCATTTTAAACCATTTTTAAGTGTACAGGTCTGTGGCATTAAATACATTCAGGTCGTCGTGTAACCATTACCGCTATCCGTTTCCAGAACTTTTTTATCACCCAAACTGCAACTCCATACCCATTAAACAGTATCACCCCATTCCCCCTCCTGCCAGCCCCTGATACCCACCATTCTACTTTCTGTCTCTGATGTTGACTACTCCAGGTACCTCATACACATGGGGAATCATACAGTATTTATTCTTTTGTGACTAGTTTCTTTCACTTGGCATGATGTCTTCAAGGTTCATCCATGTTGTAGCATGTGTCAGAATTTCCTTCCTTAGAGATCGGCGCAGTGGCTTACACCTGTAATCCCTGTGTTTTGGGAGGCCACAGCGAGAGGACCGCTTGAGTCCAGGAGCTTGAGACCAGCCTGGGCAACATGGTGAGACCCCATCTCTACAAAAAATTTAAAAATTAGCTGGGTGTGGTGGTGTCTACCTGTAGTCCCAACTACTCAGGAGGCTGAGGCAGGAGGATCATCGCTTGAGCTATGATCGCACCACTACACGCTAGCCTGGGCAACAGGGAGAGATCCTGTCTCTCAAATTATTTCCTTGCTTTCAAAGGCTGAATCATATTCCATTGTATGGACATTTTGCTTATCCATTCATCTGTCAATGGACGCTTGGGTTGTTTCACCTTTTGGCTATTGTGAATAACGTATGGAATTTTTAGATAACTAAAAGTAGTTCCTGAAAATAGTGCCTGTGTGAACCCTGAGGAAGAGACCCAAAGTTGGGAACTTGGGGTCTCCCTCAACTTATCATTTGTGGGTGAAAAAGCAGAGGCCCAAGGATAGCAGTGATTTTCTCACTGCCCTGTGCCCACCCCAACTGCTCTGAGCCTCTCTGCTGGGCTATACTTCTTGACTAGAATGGCTATAAAATTGTGTATTCCCCCCCATGGGATATTTTTTATGAGGCTATTTTTATAATTATAGCTTTATTATCCTCACTGGATTCCTGTGTCCTGACACCTGGACCCTGTGGGGGGCCTTGTGCAGCCAAGGCATTCCAGGGCAAGCAATGTGGACTTCTAATGTGCCATCCTCTGCCTACGGGTTGGCCAGGTCTCCTGAGGTGACTGCCTTTTCGCAAGTGGAAAGTTCGGAGACGAACTGGATGTGTGATAGGGGAAAAGGGCCAGAGGCCTGTTGACACGGAGAACCCCCCCAGAGGGGCTCTTGGAGGGACTCCGTGTCCTGCCATGTGTAGCATGAGCAGTTGTTCTCATCGCGGGTCTCCACTGATGAATGGCCTCTTGACTTCACCAAGACCACGCAGCACCCAACAGACCAATCTGAGCCGGAGGCGGGTGCCCGGCCTGGACCCCACAAACCACAGTCTGCCCAGCCCTGTGCTGAAGACTTTCTCTTGGGGCCTGGAGGACGCATGAGTTGATCTGGGTTGGAATGGAGGGCGGGGTTGGCAAAGTAGGATGAGAGTCCCCTATCATTAGTCTACTGTGTATTCATCCAAAAATCAAAGTCAGAGCCAAACCGAGGGCTGGATGGACAAGGCATTGCTATTAAGCTCTGTACCTTATTGCATCCGTTTCCTCAGCTCACCCCTCAGAAGTGCCACTGAGGAAAGACAGATGAGAACGAGGTGACCTAAATGGGCTGCATTACAAGCAAACAATGTTGAATCGACAAGAGATTCCTTGTTGAATAACCCAATTATTTATGTTCATGGCATTTTATTGTGTTTTTTCTCTTTCTGCAAAG